CTCTCTCTCTCTATGTATGCTTCACTGGTTTTGCTTCTCTAGAAAACCCAGCCTAAGACAGCCATTTATTAAAAATAACTGTGAAATTCAAAGGAACTGCTACTCCATAAATAAACACATCTTCTTCCTATAAACACTGAATAACTTAAAAATCAATTTCATTTTTTCTAATAATACACTGCATTTCTAGTTAATGAGATTTTATTAAACTGAGCAAAAGTAAGATGTAAAACCCCAAGTGTGAATTTTAAAATATTTTGCTTAGTATGGTACACTTAAAGTTCTTAAGATACATTTGGCTTTATGACTTTACTCTTTCAAAAAAAAAAAAAAACTCTAAATGCAAGTCACTCTAACTTCAAACTTCACGTTATAGAAAAATATACAAATTACTAATGTCACACTATAAACATCAACAAAACACTAAAAGACATGCAAGAAAATCTGTAGACATCTTCACTCTTTATATAATATGCTTAACCTAGAACTCAATAAACATTAATGAAGGGTAACAGAAAAGTAACTAAAAAGGTAATTTTCAAACTGAATATACAGATGTACAAATAAGATACACGGTAAACCTGTATCTCCAAACTCTGGCAGATGTCATACTAGTTACTAGACTAATATTAAAAGCCTAAATATTGACAAAAAAAAAAAAAACACGCCAAACCCATTGCCGCTGAGTCGATTCCGATTCATAGTAACCCTACAGGACAAAGTAGAATTGCCCCATAGGGTTTCCAAGGAGCGCCTGGTGCATTTGAACTGCCGACCTTTTGGTTAGCAGCCAAACTCTTAACCACTACATCAGGGTTTCCAAACATTGACTATTTGTATATAATGTGTATATATACACACAAACACACACAATCTGCTTAAGTTAAAATGCCAAGCAATTCCAAATAACCTTCAAAATAAACTGCTTCAAGAACAGCTCATCAGTTTCTGCATATAACTCAATTTAAAATGCTCTTAAACATACTCTCAAAGGAAAATAAACCTACTTATTTCCTTTTTACTTTTAAAGTAATGCAGTCTACTGCTAAAAATCTATCATTAAATAACTCACTTGATTCAAATACTCAAGTAATAAAAATGTTTGATATATATACATATGTGTATGTGTGTTCTGACACTCCCCAATCCTGCAAAATATATATATATTTAAAAAAAAAAGATAACCAGAAACATTTACCTCAAGGTAAATCTATTCATTTGATGAGTTTGTACGGGCTATTAATAAACATTTTTCAAAGAATAATGACAATAACACAGAAAAATGTTTGTGATATAAGGTTAAGCAGAAAAAAGTATACAACACTGTTACTAAATATATATAAATATATATACAGACACACTAAATGCAATGTGGCATCCTGAGCTGAATCCTGGAACAGAAAAAAGGCACTAGTAGAAATACTGATGAAATTGAAATAAAATCTGTAGTTTAGTTACCACCACCATACCAAAGTTAATTTCTTAGTTTTGACAAACGTACCATGGTTACCTAAAACATTCCAACTCACAGCGACCCTATAGGACAGAGTAGAACTGCCCCCTACAGGGTTTCCGAGGCTGAAATCTTTACGGAAACAGACCATTACATCTCTCTCCCATGAGCAGCTGATGGGTTTCTGAACCACCGACTTTTTGGTTAGCAGCCAAGCGCTTAACCAGTGCACCACCCGTGCTCCTACAGGATTGCTATGAGTTGATATCGACTCTACAGCAACAGGTTTGGGTTTTGTTTTGTTTTTGCTTTATCTAAAATGTTTACGTGAGGGGAAGTTGGATGAAAGGTACATGGAAATCTCTGTACTATCTCTGCAACTCTTCTATAATAAATTATTTTGAAACAAAAATTTTTTTAAAGTTATTCTTTGTGCACAGAAGCAAATTTGAGGATTCTCGTAAATAAAATTTTACACTCATTTCTTTTTCTCTTTCTCTCTTTCCCCTCTCTCTCTCTCTCTCACACACAATAAATACATAAACCCAGAAAAAAAAACTAAACTGAAACACACTAAAATGTTAACACTGGTTCACTTGGTAGGATGACAAGTATTTTTTCCCTTTATATTTTACCATATTTTCAACAGTGTGAACTGGTTGTATAATCAACAATAAATTATTAACTAAAGAATACATAAATCAATACTTACTAAATGCTTCTTTAGAAAGAAAAGCTGTAAATGTCTAAGCAGAGCCTAAAGGCAAATGACATACAAAACAGGTTAGGGCACACTGTGAAGAACACAGTGGCCAAGGGAAATTGCCAGAAGAATTTAAGTAGGCAAAAGCCTAATTAATTAGTGCTGCAAACCTGCCAATACACAGAACTTAACATTACTGTTAGGCTTAAAGGTGCCTGCGGCCAGCAAAGTGATGCTCAGAATTCACGCGTCTTGGGGAATGCCCCCAAAAGACTATTCAACATTAAGAATTTATGGAGATACACAGCCTGCTTTTGCTCCAAACAAAATAATTCGGTTGGACACCTGGTGCACAACAACCCTCTAAGAACTTCAGTACCACAATATGTTCTTTTTCTCCCCACTTCTCCCTTTCCTCTCTAACACCTTCTTAACATCTGTTTCCAGCCCTTAGCCCTAAGGCCTGAAGATGGTACCCTAGTGCCGTTTAGCACATGGGTAGAATTAACAGGGTGATGATTTGAAGTCCCTGAGTTATGCTAACAGATAACATGCTTGGTTAACGTGCTGGGCTGCTGAGTCCACCCAAAGGTGTCTCAGAAGAAAGGCTTGGCATCTATTTCCGAAAAATCAGCCTCTGAAAACCCTATGGTCACAGTTCTACTCTGACACACATGGGATTACCAATGGTCCAAGTCAGCTCATGACAACTGCTACTGGTATACTGTTATTCATCAAAGACAAGACATGATTGATTTTAAGACCAGGGTTTTATATACCATTGAGAAAGAAAAAAAAAAAGTTGCTACAGCGTATCACTGATTGTAAGATACACCCAAACTTCAATGAACAAAAGTAGAAAATGTCTTGGAGTCAATGAAATATGGCATACAGTCAATGAAAGAAGCATCAACTCATTACAAATAAAGTATCTTCTCTTTGCTCTTTTCCATATGATAGAAGACAGCTGCATTACATCTCATTAACACATAAAATCATTGTCCAAACTTAAAGAGTTGATCTTTAAATTGCCAAGGTTCTGAATGCCAAAATACAGCCAGGGGCAAAGGAGAAAACTTAACCAAGGGTTGGTAAACTTTTTTCTATAAAGGGCCAGACAGTAAATATTTTAGGCTTTGTGGGCCATGAGATGTCTGTCACAACTATTCAACTTTGCCATTGTAAAGCAAAAGCAGTCACAGACAATATGTAAATGAATCAACGTAGCTGTTCCAATAAAACTTAATTAATGAGCAAATAAATTTCAATTTCATATAATTTTCACGTCACGACATATTATTCTTCTTAAAAAATGTAAAAAAGCCATCTTTAGCTTGCAGGCCATACAAAAACAACTTGCAGGTGCAAGTTGGTGGAGAAGTTCTTCTAATACATTCTTTCAATCTTATTTTCTCCTTTCTAGTCCTATCTCTATAATAGTTAAAGGTGTACTGTGTATATGTATGTCTCATGATCTCAGAGCAACTACACAAGAACAAGAGATATGCTTAAAAATTATATATATATATATATATATATATATATATATAACATGCATGTATGCATGTATATAGTCTTTCCCAATTGTTTCTGTACAAATCTTCCTGGGATATAGGCTGTATTTGCTACACTAATGTTTCTGAAAGAAGTGGTAGGATTTCAGACCACCCACGCCTCAGTGTTCTTATGAGCACTTGATAAATATTGGTGTAAAGAACAATCCGGTAATGCACATTGATGGAAACTATTTTCACCATTTTTCAAATGAGGAAATGAAGGTAAAGAAAGTAATCAAAACTTTACAGGAAACCAAAGTTAGAATTTTTACTTCCCCTGTCTACTGCCTTAACTAAGACAACATGCACTCTTCCTCTCAAGGTTTCATGGTTTGTTTTTCTTCAGATTTGGTTTGATCTCAAACTCAAGGTATCAATCATCAGTGGTGACTATAACTCTAGAGCACCATATTCATAAGTACAGCTAAGGTCACTGGGGCTATTCCTTCTGAGCACACTTCTAATAAAATATAACTTGAAAGCAACTGTAAGAATATTTCCTTTTAAAACAAATGTGGAGAAAACAAATCTCTACAGAAAACAGCATGAATTTCCAAGATGATGTTTGATTGTGTCCCACTTTTAAAAGGTTCTTTCACCAGTATTAGCTGAAAGACTACTTACTTTAAATCTTCTTTAGAAATTTTTTAACTTAACTCAACATTTAGCTAAAAGAGTGTTAGTTTCATATGATTATGCATATAGAATACTCATGTCAAAGCAATTTTCTCTCAGCTCTAAAATCTTAAATTTTCCACATGCAAATTGCAAATCTGGATTCTCTAAACTAAACAGGTGCTAAACAGAGGTGGAATATAGCTCAGGCAGGATTTTAATTCGCATATAATTGATAAACAGCCTACAATAGTGCTGCTACTTAAATGTACTTAAAACATCACATTAAAATCTAAACTAAAAGGCTTTGCTTTTAGCATTCTAAATTCCTCTAGTAGAAGATAATATCAATCTCCAATATATGCCAGCAAGGCGGCATGATACAGTGAAAACATCACAGTCTTTAGGCATAGAGAGATTGAAGTTCTTACTTAACATCTCTGAACCTAAATTTCCTCATATCCACTGCCTCTGAGTCGATTCTGACTCACAGTAACCCTCAAGGACAGAATAGAACAGCTCCACAGGGTTTCCAAGGAGCAGCTGGTGGATTCCGATTGCCAACCTTTTAGTTAGCAGCCAAGCTCTTAATCACCGCACTACCAGGGCTCCATAATTTCCATAAATTTCCTCATAGGTAAGTTAAAAACACTATCACACCATTATTACCTACCTCATAAGGTTATTTCAGGTTAGGAGGCTGTTGCAGTAGTAACAATGTGGGTCTGAATTAAGGTAGTAAACAATGAAGATGAAGAAAAGAGAATGGATTAGAGTGACACTTAGGAGCTAGCATCAATAACACCTGATGACTGATTACACTGGGAAGGAAAGCGGGAGTCAAGGAGAATACCCATTTATTGCTTAGGTGACAGTACATTTATTGAGCTAGGAAACCACAGGAAGGAGATACTGTTTAGACAAATAGATAAACTCAGTTTTGAATGTATTGTGATGCCTGTGAGATATCCAAATGAAGATGTTCAATATACAAGCAGAAGGACAGGTACAGAAGTGGAAGAAAGATCTGGGTTGGAGGTATATATCTGGAAGTCAACAGCTTATGAATGGAAATCCAAGACATGACACAAGTTGAGATTGCCCAGTGAGAAAAAAAGTAAGACCTACAGAAACTCAGAAACACCAACATTTAAGGGAAATGCAGAATTAGAAAAGTCTAAAAAGGAGATTGGACAGGTGCTGTTCAAGAAGCTGAGGGAAAACCCCAACAATATGGTATCATAGAAGCCTAGGGGAGAGAATGAGTTAAGGTCAGAGAGGATAGGAAGAACAGTGTCCAATGAAAAAGGTAAGACTGCAGAAACCAGGGACATTTAGTTTAGAAAAAAGAATATTTGCAGTATGGAAGACTAAAGCAGAGACAGATAGCTATCTTCAAATTTCTTTGTCACAAAATAATAGACTTGACTTACTCAGAAGTTGAACCAAGCCACAGAAGTCAGAAGTCTATGGGAATGAAATTTTAGCTCAATACTTAGGCATTAAAACTAATGTGCATAGTTTCATCAGAAAACATGAAGATGGAGAAAAGTTAAGTAAATAAAAGTAAAAAGATCACTTTAAAACTCAAATTGGCCTTAGGATACTCAAATGCAAGCTCAGGGACGAAATGTTCTCTGTGATTGAGGGTGTAGCTCTTACTGAGGTCAAACAGTAGCAATCAATTACAGAATTGGGGTCAGTACTGAAATCCCCTTGTCTGTTTTCAGTTCTAACTTTCTGACATCACAACGAAGATGCATCTGCAACTCCAAAAGTGTGTTATTTGCACAGGTAAAGTTATAGATTTCAAGAATGAATAAATGGGAGATTGAATCAAATATTTTAAATAACTTCCTTTGTTATATTAAAAACTTATAAATCCTGATAAAACACAGAAAGTGTTCCATCATTCTTTCAAGTGTTTAATAAGCACCTTCTATCCTCACGTGCAGCCACCACCCGTCTGACAGTGGAGGCTTGCATGTTGCTATGACGCTGAGCAGGTTTCAGCAGAGCTTTCAAACTAAGATAGGCTAGGAAGAAAGGCCTGGCAATCTCCTTGAGAAAATCAGCCAAAGAAAACCATATGGATCACAATGGTCGATCTGCAACTGATCATAGGGATGGTTTAGGACTGGACAGTGTTTTGTCTCATTGTGCATGAGATCACCATAAATCAGGGACAACATAAAAAAATTTTTTTTAGCTCAATACAAGTAAGAACTTAACATCTATCTAACAAAGAACTGAGTTCTCTATAAATGCTGCATTTCCAATCACAAGCAATGTTTCAGTGACATCCACTAGTGGTTAAGAAGCTGGATGGGATAACTTGAGCTTTCTTTCAACTGATGTAAACTGCAAGGACTAAACTAAATCTGAAATACTTCTGCATTAAAGGCATCAAAGGAAAAGACACAGCAAAAGAACTTTAAATACTTAGAAATATAAAGTAATGGTTCTCTGAGGTTTTTAAAATTATATTCAATTAATTCTAAGTAAAACACTTAAAAAGATAAAGGCGTTTTTAACCTCGTGAGTCCAAAGTAAAACATTCAATACAAAAAACTTTAGGTCTTTACCCAACTTTGTGGTTGATTTTTAGCTATAATAATTGTTTAATGTCATTAAAATCAACCCAACTGAGTTTTTATAACTTTCTACTGCTAAAAAATTGTTTCTTTCTTTTCTTAAAAGTTACAGGCACATCATTTTTTTAAAGGCAGAGTTAATTTAAAAAGAGTTATTTGCAATGCCAGACAGTCTCCATTTGCTCTTCCAGAGCCACTCTCTAACCGTCTCTAACCTGTTCTGTGCCCTAGGAGCCTGACCTGCATGCAGCACTGGCCAGAGACCAGAAGTGGGAGAAAAGATGGGAAATACCTAGCTCCCCCACGGCAGGCTCCAGGTTGGTTGTGGCTCCATTCCTTACTAAGGTTCTGCTACCGATGGCTCCTGTCAGGCAGCCCTCTTCTATACTTAACAGCTCTTGCTGGGTTCATGTAACCATTCCTCCCTCTTGCCCCTTGGATCACAACGATCCGATCCACAACCAAACGTGGAGAAGGTGCAGGACCAGGCAGTGTTTTGTTTGGTTGTGCATGGGATCGCCATGAGTTGGGGGTGGGAGTGGGGGTAGACAACTCAATGATAGCTAACAACATTACCACCTCTAGGTCTAAACTTCATTGGCTGACTTTCAGAAGTAGATTGCCAGGACTTTCTTCCTAGTCCATCTTAGTCTGGAAGCACCACTGAAATCTGTTCAGCTTCATAGTAACATGCAAGCCTCCAGTGACAGACGGGTGATGGCTGTGCATTAAGTGCACTGGACAGGAACTGAACCTAGGTCTCCCACGTGGAAGGTGAAAATTCTACCAACTGAACCACCATTGCTCCCAGAGGTGGTAACAGCTTCCTGCTATTGCTAGTTGGCCTGGACACCATCACTTGCTTGTTTCCTTTAGCCTGTCCACACTCTGTAAACTATTCCTTCATTAAATTCTTAACTATTACACTTTTCAGTGTTCTGTTTCCTGCCAGAATTCTGACTGATAAAGTTGCTACTGATGTTTTTCATACTGTAATTGTATCTTGCACTAACACTGTTGGAGAATACCTTAAGAAAAGAGACATGATCACCAACTTTTACACTTCTTTAACAAACCAACTAAACTCCTCAAGGATGAAAAATAAAAATTACCTACCTGAAAAACTCATTGAAAGGAAAAAGGAATTATTTGTAAATTTTACTAAGAAAAATATTCAAAAATCTTGAGATCATTTTGAAACCTCGCTCTCTCACATCCCATATCCAATTCATCAGTTTTTTCAGATCTATCTTCAAAATATATCCAATGTTGACAAATGGACCACAACTACCACAGCCTCCATCAGCCTGAGTCCAGCACAACCAGATGATGCCTGGCTACCACCACCGACTACTCTGACAGGGATCACAATAGAAGGTCCCAGACAAAGCTGGAGAAAAATGTAGAACAAAATTCTAACTCACAAAAAAATTTTTAAAAAGACCAGAGTTACGGGTCTGACAGAGACTGGAGAAAACCCGCGAGTATGGCCCCCGGACACCCTTATAGCTTAGTAATGAAGTCACTTCTGAGGCTAACCCTTCAGCCAAAGATTAGACAGGCCCATAAAATGAACTGAGACTAAATGGGCACACCAGCCCAGGGGCAAGAATGAGAAGGCAGAAGGGGGACAGGAAAGCTGGTAATGGGGAATCGAGAAGGAAAGAGTGTTGACGTCTTGGCAACCATTGTCACAAAACAATACGTGTATTTAACTGTTCAATGAGAAACTAATTTGTTCTGTAAACATTCATCTAAAGTACAATAAAAAGAAAAGAAAAGAAAAAAATCCTAAATTGAACCACTGCTTACATGTTCATCATTACTTCTCTGGTACAAGCTACCATAATTTCTTATCTGAATGTCTGCAATAGCCTTCTAGTTGGTCTCTGCTCTCACTTCCTTCAGGTTTTTGCTCAGAAATCAATTTATTAGAGGACTTCCCTGAGCACCCTACATAAAACAGGTAAACCCACTTAATCCCGCAATGGTACTCTCTTTTTCTCTTGTTGTTGCTGTCAGGCGCCGTCGAGTCAATTCCGACTAATAGTGACCCTATAGGACAGAGAAGAATTGCCCCATAGGGTTTCCAAGGAGCAGGTTAACTGCTGACTCTTTGGTTAGCAGCCTGCACTCTTAAATCACTTTGCCACCAGGGCTCCCTTTTCCTCTTACCCTGCTATATTATACTGTTCCACAAATGAGTTATCACCAGCTGGTATACTATATACTGACTTCTCTATTTTTTGATTCCTCGTCTCTCTACCCTCGCCACCATAAAACGTCAACTGCATAAGGGTAGAGACTTTGTTTTGTTCACTGCATTTTCTCCAGTGATAATTCTGAATTCCATGTTTTAAAGTCATCTTAATAAATAACTAGTAAATAAGCTGTTCATGAGTAAGAGTGAAAGATTCTTTGGTTATAGTTTTATTGCTGTGTTTTCATGTTACAGAAATTCAGGGGCAAAATTTATCATTATGTTACTATTTTAACAGTATCCAGTACTGGGCTATTTACTCATCCAGCTAAAACTTATTGAGCAGTTAGTATCTGTCTGGCACTCTCTAGACACTGGAGAAAATGCACTGAACAAAACAAAGTCTCTACTCCTACCTATGCCTATTAGTAAAGGAAAATATCCAGAACACACTCCCTTCACCCAAAAGAAAATGTATCTGGGTTTGGAGGCAATGAATATTGTTTCCACAAAATATGGCCTTAGTGACACTGCTTTAGTTGTAACAAGATAATCAAATCTTCATTCAAGTATCTGAGGCAAAATTATTCTGAAAAATAGAGAAATAAACGATTTTTTTGAAACCAAAATCTCTTTGAATTATTAAAAATGTGCTAAGATATCACATACTAAGAATGGACTTTTTATAAAAGAAAGTTGTATGATTTAAATCAAAGCCACCCCCACCTGAATTAATGATGGTGTTATTTTTGTACTAGTAACTATATCAGAATATAGAATAAAATAATTTAATAACACTAAAGCTATATTCTTTATTTTACAGGGTAGGCTACACACACAAACACACACACTTTAAAACAAAAAGATAAATAAGAAATTACACATTCTGAGGTATGCTGTTGTTGTTAGGTGCCGTCAAGTGGGTTCCCACTCGTAGCGACCCTATGTACAAAAAAATCAAAGACTGCCCAGTCCTGCGCCATGCTTACAGTCGTTGTCATGCTTGAGCCCACTGTTGCATCCACTGTGTCAATCCATCTTGTTGAGGGTCTTCCTCTTTTTCACTGACCCTCTAGTTTACCAAGCATGATGTCCTTCTCCAGGGACTGGTCCCTCCTGATAACATGTTCAAAGTATGTGAGACAAAGTCTCCCCATCCTCGTTTCTAAGGAGCATTCTGGCTGTACTTCTTGTGAGGTACAGTCAATATTTTTGTAAAGATTCTAGTTAATTTAAAGATAAAAAATTTAAAATACTAAAAAGATTTCAGACTATAATAAACACAATATTCTACCATTTATGAATGGGCCTTCAGCTGGCACAAATGCAGCATAACTGTTGGGCCTGTTTGCAAGAGCCAGTTATCCAATACCTTCAAGTAAATCACTCTTTTATTAGATTTTTTAAACTTTGGGTTGCTCCAGGAGTTATATGTATTTAAGAGTGGAAGATGATTTAGAATCTGGTAAAAGTCAGCAAGTACGTGACTTTGGGTTTCAAAAAATACTTGAGGAACTCAAGAAATGTTTCTTTTTTAAATAAACTTTATTTAAAGAACAATTTGAGATTTACAGAAAAAC